GGTTTTTTTTAAAAACTCTATTTATTCTGGTGTGGATGGCAAACAAGCCTATAAATCTTGGTTTTAACAGGACTCATTGCAAGCGTTATTTCTATATACTATTATCTATTATCTATTATCTAAAAATAATCAAGTTATTAATGACTGGACGGAACCAAAAAATAATTAGTTCGTGCTCCAATAACATGAAGCACTTCACTCATTGGAAAGAGCACATAAGAGGTTTTTTCTTGAGTTAAGCTCAAGAGAGATTCAACATTCTTAATTGAGCAATTATCTTCTATCATTCAACAAAATATTCCATCAAAATATAAGGATCCGGGTTGCCCTACTATTTATTGTGTTATAGGTAAATTCAGAATTGAACAAGCTTTACTTGACTTAGGTGTCAGTGTGAATTTTCTTCCTTACTCAGTATATGAACAATAGAGTCTTGGTGAGTTGAAGCCCACCACAATGACACTTCAACTGGTTGACCGATCTGTGAAGATACCAACATGGATGGTGAAAGATGTGCTACTCCAAGTAGATAATTTTTACATTTCTATTGATTTTATTGTCTTGGATAAATACCCTGTATTAAATGATAATGCTCAAATTCTAGTCATATTAGGCCGAACATTCTTAGCTACTCCCAATGCTTTGATAAATTGTAAGAATGGTATTATGAAATTGTCTTTCGGCAACATGACTTTGAAATTGAATATCTTTAATGTTCGCAAACAATCGGGTGAGATTAATGATGACTTGTTTGAGGTAAACTTGATTGAGTCGATTGTTCATGATCGATTAAATGACTCTTCTTGTTCAGATCCACTTGAAGCTTGCTTGCTTGAGTGCTCATATTCTTTAAATTTTGGTGCAAAAAATTCCTAGTACACAAGTGCCAAAGCTGGAATTGAAGCCTCTACCTATTGAATTAAAGTAAGCTTTTCTAAGCAATGAGAAAACTTTTTCGGTAATAATTTTATCTAATCTTAGTTCAACCTAAGAAGGTGACATGCCTACAAATTGGAGTGCACAAGACAAGAGAAAGTTTTTAGTTGAGGTAAGAAGTTTCTTTTGGGATGATCCATATCTTTTCAAGTATTGCCCCAATCAGATCATTCAAAGTGTTTTCCCATATGATGAGGTAAACAACATACTCTCCTTTTGTCATTTAGAGGCTTGTGGAGGCCATTTTTCGACTAGGATAACCACTGTAAAAATTTTGTAGTGTAGATTTTATTGCTCAACACTCTTTAAAGATGAATATAAGTTTTATAAGACTTGTGAGTGATGTCAAAAGCTCGGTGGGATAACCCGTAGTAATATGATGCTTTGGTCCAATGGGTCTTTGGTCCAATGATACTCCTTACCTTGTAAAAATTTTGTCTTCTTAAAGTCAAGGGTTCAAGCCTCATTCCTCCTCCCCCCTCCCCCCCAAAAAAGGTAATATGATGCCCCTTAATCCTATTTTAATTAATGAGATTTTTGACTGCTAGGGCATTAATTTCATGGATCCATTCCTTCCATCTTTTGATTATTTATGCATTGGGTCTTAGCCTAATAGTACTTCTTACCTTGTGAAATCTTTGTCTTCTTGAGGTCAAGGTTCAAGTTCCCTTCCCTTCCCTCCTCCCCCTCCCCCCCCAAAAAAAGTAATATGATGCCCCTTAATCCTATTTTAATCAATGAAATTTTTGACTGCTAGGGCATCGATTTTATGGGTCCATTCCTTCCATCTTTTGGTTATTTATGTATTCTATTAGCATTTGACTATGCTTCTAAGTAGGTCGAGGCTATGTTATGTCAGAATAATGATCATAAAATTGTTTTGAAATTTTTAAAAGATATTTTTTTTTTTAGATTTGGTATACTTAGTGATGGAGGATTACACTTTTATAGCAGACCGTTTGAATCTTTGATAAAAAAAAATATGGTATTACGAATTAATTATTGGTTAATTACATTGGATAAGGAATTAAATGTGTTAAATTGATTAAGTTTTGATTTTTATCTCTGTCGTAGTGTTTGTTAATTTTGTAGGTAAAATAGGGAATATCAATACTTAAGGGGGCCAATGTGTGAAAGGAGAATGATTCAAAGCTAATTGAAGGAAAGTCTCTGTCTAATGTGTTCGAACGTTGGATCATGAGCGTCCGGACAGAAGTTTTAATAGATGCACAAGAAAAGTCAGAGGGCACACGTCTGGATGGAAGAGGAGATTCGTCGGACGGGACTTCCAAAGAATTAAAAGAGAAGACATTACAAAATGCTTTCAGATGATCCAAAACACGTGATCGGACACGATGGACAGAAAGACCAAGATTGCAAGGTGTGTCCGGATAGTTGAAAACACGCGTCCGGATGCGACAATGATTTTCAGCCAATAACCTTAGACTTAGACGTAAATTAGGTCTTTTGTTCCCTAATGCCTATATAAGTTGGTGTAAACCACATAGAGTGTCATTATGCTCTTAACCCCTCATTCATAGCTTTTGGTTTTTTTTTTTTTATTTTATGGATTGCTAACTTTGTAACTAAAGTTAGGGCATATACTTTCAATAAAGTATGATATTATTTTTGATTCAATGTTCTTTTAATGCATGTGTTATTCATTTAATTTAATTCTTGTCTTTTAGTAAAATTTTTGTTCTTTATAATTTCTTAATTCGTTGTGTCACGTACAATTAATTATTGAAATTCCCTACTAGTCAAAAAACTAGTTTTACCTAATAGTTAATTTATTATTTACAATAAAATTATGGTTTAATTGTTTGGAGATCTTGATTCACGTGGACTCTGGACACGATGATTGTTTGTTATCTATAAGTAGATTCTACGATTTATTCAAAAAAATTATCAATTATACTTTTGGATGTTTTTAATATTATCATCGTTAAATATTCCGATTAAAATCAATTTTCAGTTGATTGTTAATTGAGTTTGAAAATCGAATTATTAATAATTATGGTGTGAAATTGAAAGGGTGTTCCTGATATTTTAGTATTTTCAAATATTGTTTAAAAACTAGTTTATTGTTTTTCAAATTCAACTCTTTACAACAATCTTCCAAAAGATTTTTTTTTTGTTTGCGTTCTAAATTTACACAATTTTCTGTAGTACGACCTTAGATTACCGAATTTATATTACTTTGTGGCAACCTAAGTTTAGAAAATACATATTGAAAGTTGCATCAGGGACCACATAAAATAAGAACACATTTAGCCTTCAATTAGTTTTTTGTTGCAAAAAATAGTGGTGGTGGCCTGCTGACGAAACTGAGGAGAGGAAAAAACAATTGTTCGCGTTGACCATTTCGATCCACAATTCAAGCAGGCACTCAACGTCCAATTTTGATAAAATTCTAGAATGTGTGTTCGCAATAGTGGGACTACGCATGGATCAATTTATTGTTTAAAGTCTTCTTAGATTGATATTTTGCAAGGCCTACGAGTGAGAGACATTCCCTTTACTTTTGATGATACCCATCTTCGGGTGATGAATATTTGATAGCCTTTGGAAATTGTTCTATGTAAAATTTGTAAATCCATTATTTTGATAGAGTGGAAGGTCGAGATCAGAGTTCGTGGATGTACACCGAGTGTGGGGGAACCATGCAAATTTTTTTCATATTTATGGTGTGATTTTATTATTTGCTTTAATTTTCATTGATTGAGTTTGGTACATCTACTTAATTTGCATAAAGAGGGATAAAAAATTAATTTTACTATTTTTATGAGTTCACCCTATTATAGAGGAATTATAGTAGCCAAATCTAACAAGTCAACTGTGAATAGTGCCTGATCCGCGAAAAGTTTCTCCCATAATAGCCATTCTCTATTATGGAATGGAGATGTGTGTGAGGTGAAAGTGCAACAAACTAACGGGATGAAATTAAATTTATCATTTCCTTAAGAAAATGAAAAAAAATAAGAGAATACAATCCCCAGAAGAAGTTCATAATGTCAATTACAACTACAAGAACCAAAATTAAATCAAGTAACTTCAACATCCTATTTTAAAAAGCCATCAACATAGAATAAATTAGATTTGCTAATAAATTAGATTTGAGAATACAAGTCTCCTGTGGATGTGTTTTTTGGTGAACTTGTTCTTGTCACCGTCATTGGAGGATTTTGATGAGATGTATTTATCTCGTTGAGTTGATGAGGTTGGTGAACTGTTGCTTCATCTGTCATCATCACTCCTAAGGGTCGTCTGTCAAATGTTTGTAAGGTTGTCGATTTTAAGTAGACTCGACACAAACTGAACTCTTGTCTTAACTGTAGGATAAGAAATTTTGAAAAAGATTATATATCCTAATAATAATTACCTCAAATTATGTAATGGTAATTCACTAATTACACAATACATGTGATCATGCACTTACCTTGGTGCAATGCATATATACAAGTAAAGCGTGATGATAAGTATGAAACTAACTTATGACATGAACTAATAGATGAATCTAAAGGTTTTAAGAATTGAATCATCATTTATGGTTTCAGTCTCTTGCCCACTTATATATAAAGAGGAGGGATGGCAATAATTCATTAGCAACAAGAGAAAGAGAGAGCAAGATCTTACAAACTAAAGCGTGGGTCTTTAAGTTGAGTTCGAGCTAAGTTGTAACCCAAAAATAATATTGTCCCACACAAATAAGGACCTTAGAGATCTTAAAATCATTTAGTATTATGATGGTGACAGTCCTAAAAAGCTTGAATGTAGCCTTAATTTTCTTTAAGAAAAATTACGGGGTTTAAATCAGTCAATAAATGTAATAATTATAATCATTGAAAGAATAACCTAAAGATGATGAAGAAGAAGAAGAACAGGAGGAGGAGACGATGTTGTAATCCAGGTAGATTTTATTGTTTTTTGGGGGGGGGGGTGGTATTTACCCATTAGGATCCTTAATTAGTCAAACCCACGTGTAGGGTTAGGGTTAGGGTTAGGGTTAGACAGCCTAAAAACACTTAAATTTGTCATTTAGATCGCCTATTTTTACAGAAAATTTAATCCCACATATACTTAATATAAACCTTTGGAGCTGCACTTGTTGATGAAGAATCTTCTCCTGCAATGGCCTTGTACTCATTCATCTTCCACTCAGTCTTTCTTCCTCCTGGAGCTCTTCCTGTGTAGAAAACCATGGTTCTCTTCACTCCAATTATTCGGTTATTGGAGTAAACGTAACCTGGAGATCCAGTGGCTTTCCAATATCCTATAGTCGTGAGCCGGTTAGGTCTTCCTCCATGGACTTCTCTCTCTTGCCTAGGAAAGAAGAAAAACCACTGCTCAGGATCCCCTTGACATAACTCTCCTGCAAATTCTACCACCAAAACAAGTTCATGGAAATGAGCTTTCATGACCTTCTAGTAAGTGTCATAATCATTAATTCATACTTGTTCTTTATTAGCTAGATGCAGATTAGATAGCAAATAACAAGCTTGGAATTAATGGTTATATAAACAATTTGAGAAACCAATTTCTTAAATATTTCTTAAATAATTAAGGTGAAGAAAGAGAGAGAGAGAGAGAGAAGGAATCATATACACTAATATGAAAAAACTAAAAAATGGAAACTAAAATCTTAAATATTTCTGTCATCTTCTGAAGAGTAAAGACAATTGAACAGCAGTAAAGATGATATAGTTTGATGCATGAAAATAAGGGATTTAAGAAACAATGGTTAGGGTGAGCTTAAGTTTGAAACCTCCATTAGAAAATCATATTTAGTATGACTAACATGCGATAACTTCAACCTAGCCAATTGTGCTTAGACACTAGCTTATCATCACAGAGGGGCTAAACATTATAAAGAAACTACTTGATTGTAGAAATTTGACCATTCTTTCAAGTATTATCAGAAAATAAAAGAAGAAGAAGAAGAAGAAAAAAGAATATGAAACCGCAAGGTATGAGAATTTTACTAACGTGGGAGGTCCCATGGATTGTATTTATAAATGTCAACCACGGGTATAGCCCGGTCGAGGTCTTGTCTAGTTCCTTCAAGCTTGTTATGCAGATAGAATGAAACTAACTCTTCTTCTGTTGGATAGAACCTAAAACCAGGTGTCCTATCATCCATGTCTCTCTCTTGTGTTTCTCTCTCTTGGTTATTCCCACATTCTTCTGAGGTATGTTTGGGTTCTGTATTTATAGAGGAGGACAAGCAGAGAGAAAGGAGAGAGAGACCAGCGAAATGAGAAAAAGTTAGCTGAGGCCTTTGACATTGAGGCTGCTCGGAAATTTCCATGTTGCCGGTGGGAGACAAATACAATCTTGTTCACTTCACTGCAACTTCTGGTACTAGATAACAACCTCGAAGAATTAGTCAATCTCTTATCGAATTAATTAGAGATTAAAAATCTCATATTATATCCTATATTATTATCTTATAATTAATGATAGTGATGTATGTCTCAATTAGTCAATATCCCTCATCTTTACTGAATTACACCCCCCACATCCCGCCAACATGACATGAGATAAATGATCTTTAATGGATAAAGAGCAAGTAGTTAATAATTTTAGGAGATAAAAGAAAAACGTTACATCGTATAGTAATTGTTATACATTGTTATCTTAAACCCTCTTAAGAGCCTTTGGATAAAGATACAATTCATATTTGATTATATATGTTCAGAACTAATCACCTGATCACACTCAACTCAGTTCTTTAACGAATTGCTTATGCAAAGCCACCACCCGAAAAACCCACAACTCTTGCCTAGGAAAGGTACATGAGAGAGAGAGAGAGAGAGAGAGAGAGAGGGAAGGGGGGGGGGAGAGAAGGAATCTGTTTGGCTATCCAACCAAAAGGTCAGAACAAGTGAGGTCCAAGAGAGAGTCAAAAAAACACTACCAACAGTTTGCAAAATTGTGGGAGAAGACAGCAGTGCATTTATTATTACAATCCCTGTCCCAAAGGGACAACTCTACAACCTTCACCTCCTCATATGCTTCCCATTTTTACTGAAATTGTGTCTCCTCCTTACAGACAATGACCAGTCTATGTTATATTTTTTTTAATTTCTTTTGATCTGCTATGTCATTCAACATTTCATAATGCAAAGATGGGTAAGGCTATGAGACCGAATTTGGTTGCAATTATTGATTCAAAAATAATAAGATAATAAAAAAAATTAAAATTTTACACGTCATTTTTATCAAATAAAAAGTGCATATGGTGTCAAAAAATGATAATTTGGTATGGGAATGAGCTTAAAAATCTGAATTAATCTATTTATCTAATAATGTAGTTTTATTGTAGTGGTAAGATTAACATAATAGAACTCACAAATAATATAATAATTATATTGAATTAAATTAGTAAATTAGATTAATAATTTAAGTGTCAACAATATTGTTCAAAGAAGAAATAAGTAAAAAAAAAATGGCCAAATACTTTTAAAATTCAAGAAGTGTGTTTTCTTGTCGGCTATGTAGAACATTGTTACTTTTCTTGTCGGCTAATTATGGAATATAGGGAGCAATAATCAGCATCTCGTACCCCAATTGGGAGGGTTTTGAAAACACCAATAATTCAACGTTAGTGGGTAAGGTAATGATTAATTTTGGAGGATGTTTAGGTGATAGTGATTAAGGAAATGATTAATTTTAAAAATAATTCAAGTAATATCAAAAATAAGTTATAAATTTAAATATTTTAAATTCAAATTTTGACAACTAATTGAAATCAGATTATAAATAATTTATCTCTCATAAATAATTCAGTCTCGACATACATAATTTGCCTTTGATAATATCCAAAAAAGAATTAGTTGAGATATATGTAAGTCAGCCTAGACACCACCGTTAAACCCAATTTTTTTTTTAACCTAATGATTATTGTCAACTTAAAATTACTGGTTTAAGTCTCGTTGTCTCCCTTACTGTAATAGTTATATGTATTTGATAAGTATATGTATTTGAATATATATTCATCATATTATCATATTAATGTCTTTTTATTTTTATATTCTTTATTTTGCATGTAGTGTGAGAAAGATTGCTAGTGACTTGATTAATACTATAATATAATGTCAAAATTTATTGTACTCTACCCGATTAATTTGTAATCATATACGCATAATGAGATTTATTTCATATGTAAATTATATTTAGTAGCACTCATATAATGTTAAATTGGATTTGTGTCACTTTATTTATTAAAAATATTGGATAGGTCAACTCTGTCTATAATATAAATCCATAAATTGTGGATTTATGACTAAAAACGTGGTCAAACCCCATGTCAAGATTGCTTCATGACGTGGGCTTAGTCTGCTTGTCTTAGGACATGTCTCATAAGGACACGACAGCGTTTAATCGGGGTTTGTGCCATTATGGATTCAGGCAAAAATCAATTTTATAAGGGGACAAAACCTTGTAATGTAGGGAGGCACCATTAGGTAAGAATTAGTCAACCACCTCCCAAGAATCTTTTGGAACCACCTCTTTTGCTGTTAAGTTTGCTAGGAAAGATGAAACATAAAAAAAATATATATTTTTTATTTTTTAGAGAATGATATATTTTTATTTTTTTATGTTTGATAAGATGGTTAAAAAATAAAAATAATTAATTTTTTTTTGTATTTATTAAAATTAAAGGTGACAATCGAATCGAGTCGTGTCGTGTCGAACCATTACGGATTTGTGTCAAACCATTTGTGAGTTTGTGTCGAATATCAGTCAAACCTAACTCAACTTATTTAACTAATCGTGTCGTAGTGAGTTGACCTGTTTATTTTTGTGTCGTGTTTTCGTATTTGTGCTGACTCACATAAATTGTGAATAAAAAATTTAATCATAATATTCTATTTTCACTTAATTGAATTTATATTTAGACTTTTTCTACAAACTAAAAATTAACTTAAATAAATAATAATAATAAGTAAAAATATTTTTTCTATATAATAATTATTTTAGTGCTTAATAAATAATTACAAATAATTAACATTTTATGTCTAAAATACTAGTTAAATATGTTAATTTCATGTTACCATGCAAACAAAAAAATAGATAAAGTGTTTATTCTTAAATAAACGGGTTGATGGTGTCAATTTTGAGTTCGAGTCGCACCATTGTGTTGAGTCGAAAATTTTCATCTGTAGCTAAGATGGAAATAGAATTATTTTTTTATTTTATATTATTTATTATTTATTTATTTTGATTTAAATTTTTTTAAAAAATATATATATATAAATACATATTTTATCATTGCATTTATATATGAAATTAATATATACATAATATATGTATATATCAAAGGATATATAGATAAATAAGATACATTTCAATACAAATAATAATTTTTTGTCTATTTCTTTCTGATTTTAGAGGGATTGATTTTGGTGAGTTGAAGGAAAGTTCCTCCATCAACTTTTTCATCCTTCATCTTTTCTTTCATTACTAAATATGATATTTTATTTATCCCTCAAAATTTTCATTCTTCTCACTTTTCATCAATCTATTTTTTTATCATATCAAACGGAGCATAAAATTACTTGATGAGAAAATATTGCATCTTTAGCGGGTAGCAAGCTGACACTCTCAATGGGTACCAACATTAATAACAAATGTGAAATTCTATGGTACCGAAAGAGGTATTATACCGTCACTTATTATTTTTATGGTAAAATTATAAATTATAAGGGAGAAGTTACAATTGTTCAAAGGGACTATAATCGATCATGAACTTTCTTTAAACAGTTATAACTTCAACGTGACTTTCAAAAATTGTTACTTTGGTATCAATTTTAATCTATCATCAACTTTAAAAGTTGTAACTTATACCTTAAAAAAATTATAACTTAACATTAAATGATTATAAATTTCGGTTCAATATCAAAGGAGTTACTATAACTTTTCCCATAACAAATTATCACTTCAATAATGTGCCAGAAAATTTTAAGGTCAGCCAAATGGTTGACTTTGTTGACGTTACGGAGTTTTTCTTCCCCCTTTCCTAATTTTTTGAAAGTTTTTATCTCTCAATTATACGTTGCGGTCTCTTAATTATGATCCAAAACTAGACAAACAAAAATTCGAATTGCACACTTAGAGAGAAATAGTATCTATGGCACTCAGTCAAATAGATGATAGCAACAACTATTCAACTCGAAAGTATTAATCAACTGTAGTTTACAGAAATACGACACAAAAAATTGAAAAAAAAAAGGTCTTATACTAATCACTATAGCATTGCATAGAAAAATCAGAAATACTGTCCCATCAATCTATGGATAAAAAAAAAGGGTTGATCAATTTATTCTGGCTTGATCCACCAATTTTGCTCTCGGGTAAAAAATAAATGTGGGATTTTTCTAATTTTTTTAAGGGTTTAAAACATTTTTTCTATTACGATAAAAAACAATGAGAACTTGGATGAACTTGAAGGGTATGATTATTTTAGTAAATTTTCATTGAAATGTTTTATTATTTATTGACTTTCTATTTACCATGGCCGTGTGTTAAGGGAAGAATAGCTTGCTGATGGCTATTACGTACTAGGGATGAAAGAATAAAAGAATATTTTATTGTGTTGGGGCCAAGTCTATTAAACTGTTTCATACATGATTTCTTTATAGGGTACATGTATATGGGGTCAAGTCTTTACACTTCTAAAACTCTCAGCTAGTTGGCTCAGTACTGTAATATGCATACCTACAGATTATAAAAAATACAAAGGGGCCATGGCCCCTCAGGCCATACCTATGCTCTCCGTCATTGGTGAGATATATTTTCCGACTAGAGACGTTGGAGAGTTGTTTTGTGCTCTAGTCTTGTAGATATCTGCTAATTCTTAATATCAAAGAAAATGAGCCACTTCTCGAAAAATTTTGCATTTTTTCAAAATATATATAACAGTTTAATTTGCATTTTTTTATGAAGGAATTGATGGATTTTTATTTTTTATTAGGTTTGTATGTTTTAACAGGAAACACATTCACTTTTGTAGAAAGTAAACCCCAGGAAATTGTAAAAGGAGTAGGTGAATTCCATCAAATGAGACAGAAGGTAAGAGATACGCAACTGCCCGCGTGAAGAAAAGAACATGTGAGGTGACCTAATATGAAAAAGTCG